CGAAAGATCTTACATGTAATAATTATACACCCTCAATTAGATTTAGATTTAGATTTTAGACAATAAATTAGCAAAGACGATAAGAGTCATTCATTACCAAGTCGCCGTTGACGACTTCCTATTTAATTACTCCGTCAACTATTAAGAAAACGAAGTCGCAGCCGCCGTCAAATATCCTCGCGACCACCAGGTTTTATTTCTCTTGGAGAGACAACATTTAACGCCGTTAATAATTTCCGTTATCTTCTCCCTCCACTGTTTAATAATCTCTCTCTAAGCTTTGTTAAAGCAAACACCTTTTGATTCTTAGCTGTACAAAACCCCCCTTCCCTTTCTCTCTCTAGAATCTTCTGTTTTTATGCAACTGGACAAGAACAAAACAAGAACTCTCCAGGATCGTCATTGAAGTAGTTTAGCGTTGTCTCAAAGCTGCAAACTTTCTCAATCCCGAGGTGATTCGTCAACTTAATCCCAGGTTCGGTTTCTTTGTTTTTTTTTTCTTGTTTGATTCGGACTTTGTCTTAGATCTGTATATTTCGAATCTTGAGAATTTGATTTCGAATCTCACTGGAGCGAGTGGATTCTGTAAAAGCCAACTGAGAATTCGTTATCTTCTCTTGTGCAGACCAAGCTTGGTGTCGGAAACTGAGTGAGAATGGCTAGTCGGGTCAAAGAAGACGAGAAACACGAGCGTGTGATTAGGGGTCTTCTCAAACTTCCTGAGAACAAGAGGTGTATTAACTGTAATAGCCTGGTTAGTTTTTGGTTCTCTTGTCTTTTTATTATCTTCAACAAAAACAAGAAAAGAAATACATACAGACAGTAAGTAACTTCTTCTTCCTGCTTATTACAGGGACCACAATATGTCTGCATTACTTTCTGGACTTTCGTTTGCACAAACTGCAGTGGGATACAGTGAGTTTTTTGGATTATGTGTGTTTGTATCCTCTATTCTTAGTTTATTCAGTTGCAGGTTTAGTTAATGTATGGATATAAATAATGTTTCAGCCGTGAGTTTACACACCGTGTGAAGTCCGTGTCGATGGCAAAATTTACTTCACAGGAGGTTACTGCTCTACAAGAAGGTGGGAATCAGGTATGCAGACAATTTGACATCATTTTTATTTTGTGTGCCAAGTTTTATGGTTATCTTACCCTTTTCGCTCTCGTAACAGCGTGCTAAGGACATTTATCTTAAAGGATTGGATCAATCGAGACAGTCATTACCTGATGGAAGGTATCACAACAATCTCTTCCTTTGCTTTACAGTTTTGCAGTTTCCAGAATGACTGATTTTTTTTTGCTTTCTGTCAGTAATGTAGACCAGTTGCGGGACTTCATCAGAAATGTTTATGTGAATAAAAGATACACAAATGAGAAGAGTGATGAGAAGCCTCCAAGGGGACAAATGGTAACAAGGGTGTTTTTGTTTCCTGTTTTTGATGACCAAATAATTCTTAGAATGCTGTTGTGAATCATATTTACTTAACATTCTTCAGGGGGACAGAAATGATCAGAATGAGACTCGTAGTTCTAGTGGATCTCGAAGTCCGCCTTTTGAAGACACATATGATCGTCGTTACAGTGACAGATCAAGTCCTGGTGAGAGAAGTCCTGGTTTTGAGCCAAGTAGCAGGAAATTTGGTGATTTCACCAAAAGCCCTTCTCGTCCTGAGGTAGTGAATGATTGGCGAAGAGAGGATAGATTTGGGGGTGGAAGAAAGTCAGAAGAGGGATCTCAATCACCTGAGCAAGTAAAAGACTTTGGTTCATCTAGCCCTCCTGTGGCTCGACCTGTTAGGGAAATTTTGAGTGAGAGTGTTGCTCCTCTTCGCATTGCAGAGCCTCCGAAACCCGAAGTCAACAGAACTATTGATCCTCCAGCACATGCAAAGGTTCAGCTTCTTCACATTTCGAGTTTATATATGTTGTCAAGTAGATAATTGCCTAGTTGTTTTAGGGTGATAGCATCAAGGTGTCAGGGAGGAAGAATAATGTTGTTCTTGTCCATTTGGCTAATTGCAGAAAACTGTATCATCTAGTGGCTTGGCTTCTACAAATGAGAATCCACAAGGAGTGAAGCTGGAGCCTACTGTTAGCCTGATTGATTTTGATGATGACCCTGAGCCTTCTGTTGCACCAGCAGTTGTGACACAAGCACCGCAATTACCAACATCTCAGCCTGTAATGCAGCCAACAAGTTCATCTAATGATAATTGGGCATCTTTTGACAATGTCCCTAGTGTAAACATATCTCAAGCTCGACCCAGTGGAAACACGGTGGATTCACTTCTCTCTCAGTTGGAAGTGTCTTCTTCAGTGCCAGTTCAGACATCTGGGCTACCTAGTGGACCTGGTGCGTCAACAAATATGACTACCTTTCCAACGAATCCTTCTGCTGTTGGACAATGGCCTGGTGTTCAGCAGCCGTCTCCTTCTTTGTTACCTGCACATCTCGGTCATCATGCGCCGCATGATTTCGCACCACCACTGAATGGACCATCAAGCGGACAGGTGGGAATTTCATTGCATGATGTCTCGGAAACTTGCATAACATTTTGTGCGTACGCTTTTATTCATGTGGCTAAGCATCCCCGATCTGTTTTACAGACATGGAACACAGGATTTACATCTAATGTTCCAAGGTCAGTGAGCGCACCGTCTTTGAAACCTTTTCTTGGAGGGTCTCAGGGGGCCACTTCTGGTGGTTTGCAGCCTTCTGAAGTGAAACCTTCCGGAAGAACAGAATTACCCGCGGTATGTTAATTCAGCCTTTTGGCTCTCTTTGTTTACGTATTATGGACTACATGACTCTAAATTCCTTACCAATCTTGTCCATAGGATCTGTTCACTGTAACGTACCCGTCATACCACCATGCAGCAGTGCCTGGCTGGCAAACGGGTCCACATCATGGTATGGGCTACGGAATGCAGCAGTACAACCCTAGTGTGGTACAGTTTTTCACTTATAAAGTTGTGATCTGTTGTTTATTTATAGCATCCAGACCTCGCAGCTCATGACTTTCTTATCATCATCATACAGCCTTTCCAGAAATTTCAGCAGCCGGCCAAGTCAGTGAACCCTTTTGATTTTAGCAATGAGCCGCCATCACAGAATCAAATGGTATGTTCTCTACTTTGTTTGACCACTCCAGAATGGTATCTCTGTGTGTTCATGTATTTTGCATTAAATTTAGTCAAGAGTTTTATAAACTTATAATTCAGATATTATTGAAGAACTCTGAGCATAAAAAAAACGTCAAGTTCATAGTTTGTAATTTACTTCTGAGAGTTTTATCAGCTCTTAAGGTCATAGTCAGAAAAAAACAGAACTCCTTAAACCCTTCTCTCCATTTCGCACTTGCACCTGGATCCGAACACGTCTTCTTTAAATGAATAAATAACATTGATGGTCGATAGTAACGTCCTAAGTGATGTGCAAAGGTACAGGCAACACACTTTTCTTCCATGGCATCTATGCAAGGTGCTCTACCTAATACATTACCTCCTTCGGGCATGATGCGAACTTCCAGCCTTGGTGCTGTTTCACAAGCATGGATGCCTTCTCAAGGAGTACATAATCCTCCCGGTTTATCAGGCCATCCATCTGCAATGCCACCAAGTAAAACATTCCTCCATCCTCTTTTTTATTTTCCAGTATTTTACATGTTTATTCTCTGCTTTACAAATAATTTGTTGACTCTAACGAATGTCTTGCTCTAATTTGTTTAGGGTACATGCCTCCTCAAGTACCAGGCAACAATCCACCGAGGTAACAGACTCTTTTGATGCAGCTAATTCTAATAATGCTTGTTTAAACGTGATTATGTAATCTTTTCGCGAAATTGTGCCTAAAGTTATTAGCCCTTCCTTTTGCAGCAACATGAGTGCTCCATATGGATATGGTAATCAACAAACAGGTCATCATTTTGGAAGCCCATTTGCAGCACCTCCTTCAAACCCACCTTCAGGAGGAAACCCATTCGGGTAATAAGAGCAAAAAACACATGATTCCGGTTTATTCTCGTAAAATGAAACATGTTTATGTTATATGTTTGGGGCCCCTAGTTTCCCTTGGAAGTTTGAGTTGTATGGTATGAGATGAAAGCAAATACACGGGAAAGAGAGAGAGGGAGATGAACTTAGATAGGA